ACCCAGATACAGTGGCAGCCCTGCTATCGGCGGGATGGATAGAGAAGGTCGAGGGTGGCCTCCGGGAAGCCAAAAGTCGTTGGCCCAAAGGGATAGCGGTCGGCAAATTAAGCCTCGTTGAAGCCGACAACAGAGACCCTCGCCTAGTACTGGACAGCACGGTGTGCCAGGTCAATCCGCTATGCCGAGTCCCGGAAGCAGTCTCTATGCCTACTGTGCAAGACGTGCGCAGATCCTTCCAGCCTCGGGACCCTAGGGGAGTTTATGTGGCCGCGAGTAAAGATTTTAAAGCCGCGCACAAAAGAGTCAGGGTCCACCCAACCGAACAAGGCCTCTTGCTCTTCAGGTTTCAGGGTATCCTATGGCTCTACGTCGTATGCCACTTCGGAGCCAGATTTTCAGCCTACTGGTGGCAGCGTGTAGGGGGCCTCATCACTCGCCTAGCGCCACATACTTGCATCTTTGCCTCATAGTTGATGACTTGCTGGCAGCCCTGCTCCGGGCCTCAGCTCATGAAGCTCTTTTCCTCCTCATAGCCCTTCTTTCCTGCCTTGGAGCGCCTATTACTTGGAAAAAGGCCTATGTAGGAGACGACCTTATATGGTGCGGCTGGAGATTCAACTTCGCCTACGAGACAGTAGAGTTATGCGAAGCCAAAAGAGCCAAACTGGTCCTCCAGATCCAGCACTTGCTCAGCAAGCCGAAAACGCCCAGGAAAAACCTCGAAGCCTGCATAGGCCTCTTGATGTGGGCCACCAACATCAGTCAGGTCCTACGAGCATACGTAGCCCCCTTATACAGCCTCTTGCATAGCCCACCCGGCTCCAACTACTCCATAGCCCCTCGGATGTGGCCCGCCTTCCTGCACTGCCTAGATTCAAGAGCAGTCGTGGTCAGAGAACTCATAGGGGTCAACCTGCCCATGCAGTCACGCATCATCGAGGTGGGCAACAAGCTGGTGCGCTGCAAAGCCGACTTGCCTCACTTCCCCAAGCCTACAGGAAACCTTTGGGTTCGAGTATCAGACCCATCTTGCCCCATCATCAAGGTCACCAAGGCCGCCCAGGACAGCCTGCGTTGGCTCCTTCCGCGCATTCAGGCCATTCCTACTACGCCTCTAGCATTGCCGCCTTTGCTGCCAAGTTTAGCTAGAGCCGACGCCGTGGCCGAGGGAGATAAGGTCGGCATAGGAGGCTGGGTGTCTACAAAGCATAGTATGGCCTGGTTTGCGGAATCCTATGACATGCAAGAGATCCGAGCATATTGGCCTTTCCTGTCCAAGGACGCCCAAAAGTACATAGCCTGTTTCGAAACCCTAGCCCAGCTAGCCCTTGCCATGACAGCAAAAGCTTACCACGGACAGACCAGACTTAGCCTCTGTCTGCCAACTCAGAGCGATAATTCGCCTACAGAAGGGGGAGTCAACAAGCTCTTCACGACCAGTTGGCCACTCTCAGTCTTCCTCGGCCTCATAGCCTCTTGGAGTTCGGCCAACAGCGTCCACCTACAGGTTACTCATGTGGCGGGGGCGCACAACGAGTGGGCCGACGATCTTAGCAGAGGACGCCTACAAGCCTTTGCCCATCGGCCTCAAGAACGCCTTCGGATCTCTCTCAGCATGCTGGCATCAGCGGAAGCATCTGCCTCCTGGACACCATCCACTCACGGGGAGAAGCCGCCTTTCGCCGACAGGCTAGTCGCAGCAGAAGCCTAGGCATTCTCATCCGCTTGCCACAAGACGGAACCTAGCCTCGACTCGCAGAGCGACAGAAAAGATTCGACCAGAGTCTGCAGCGAGGCTTCTCAGTACGATGCCTATCTCAACTTCGACAGTCAGCCCAGCCGACACAACATTGCTCAGGCCAGATGCACCGCCCGCGGTGGGGACAGCTACTTCGCTTGCGCCTGTTGCCCGT